ATCCTTCCATCAAGTCTATTGGATGCAACTATCCTCGCGTCAAAAGGAGGAAGAGTTTACCTGATCCGGTTGAAAAGGAGAAAAGTGTTAGCCTTTGGTCAATGATAAAAGACAATATAGGAAAGGATCTAACAAAAGTCTGTCTTCCTGTTTACTTCAACGAGCCACTATCTTCCTTACAGAAATGTTTTGAGGATTTGGAATATTCGTACCTTCTTGACCGAGCATTTGAATATGGCAAAAGGGTAAACCATCTGAATGCTTGTCTCATCTTAAACCCTTATGGTAGCATCTTGAATATTGCTCAGTACTTGGAACCTTTTCAGGGAAATAGCCTCATGAGGATTCTTAATGTAGCTGCTTTTGCTGTATCTGGGTATGCATCAACCGAAGGAAGAATGTGCAAACCTTTTAATCCATTGTTAGGTGAAACATACGAGGCAGACTTTCCAGACAAAGGCCTTAAATTTTTCTCAGAAAAGGTTTCAGTTCACAACATGCAATTCTACTTTTCTCTGTTTTACTCATTAGCTATAGCTATTCAGACCTCTTATTCGTTTTGGTGTCAGGTCAGTCATCATCCTATGGTTGTGGCATGCCATTGTGATGGCACGGGATGGAAATTCTGGGGAGACAGCAATTTAAGGAGCAAATTCTGGGGTCGATCTATTCAGCTTGATCCTGTTGGTGTATTGACTTTGCAATTTGATGATGGAGAAATCCTTCAGTGGAGTAAGGTACTAATCAAACATTTACCAAGCTAATAACCATTTACCAAGCAAATTCGTTGTTCACTGATACTGCACTTTCTTTAAACATGTAGGTGACTACATCAATATACAATCTCATACTTGGTAAACTGTACTGTGATCACTACGGTACAATGCGTATTGAGGGCAGTGCTGAATACTCATGTAAACTTAAATTCAAGGAGCAGTCCATCATAGACCGGAATCCTCATCAGGTATGTATTAACTTTGAAAAGTTTCAGTTTGGTTTGGCTTTTGTTCCATTTTTGCATAGAATAATATAGTTTTACATTTGTGTATTACAAAACGTACTTCTTGTGATTATAGAACGTCTGTGTATTTTGTTCGGTTGGAAGATGTTATTGTTTTATTTCCAAGTAAAGTTTGGTTTCAAATGACATACTTTGGCTAGGTTTCTATGCCCTACTTAGCTGTGAGATAGTCTGAGATTTACGTTGTGGAGCATTAAGTTATTGTCTCCGTCACAGGTTCATGGTATAGTTCAAGACAAGAGTGGGAAGACAGTGGCAACCATGTTTGGTAAATGGGATGAGAGCATGCATTTTGTGACGGGTGATTGTTCTGGGAAGGGGAAACTAAACGAAGCTATGTCAGGAGCTCAACTTCTCTGGAAACGGAGCAAACCTCCTGGAAACGCAACAAAGTATAATCTAACACGTTTCGCAATCACCTTGAATGAGCTTACACCTGGGCTGAAGGTGAATGTCACAGAGAATTCTGTTTGTTATTTTCATAAATTAATCTTTAATAAGAACACAATTCAAACACAAAAGCCGAAATTTATGTAGGAGTGTCTACCACCAACGGATTCACGATTGAGACCAGACCAAAGGTATCTAGAGAACGGAGAGTTTGAAATGGCCAACACAGAAAAGTTGCGGCTGGAACAGCGACAACGTCAGGTAATACAAATTACACCACCACTGTTCAGTTTTCGCAAATTTCTACTGAGAATCCGAACTCACAAGCTATATAAACTGGGTCGTCGTATGACGAGACAGGCTAGGAAGATGCAGGAGAGAGGATGGAAGCCGAGATGGTTCATGAAGGAGAAAGGAAGCGAGTCATACCGATACAAAGGCGGTTACTGGGAAGCCCGAGAGAATCGATTATGGGTAGACTGTCCAGACATCTTCGGCCAAGTCGAATCCGATCAACAGATGATAGAGTAAAAAGAAATTGATTATAAGTCAATTCGATTCTTAAAAGCACGAAGTATTAACTTCTTTCTTCTTCTCTTATTATTCTTGTTTTCTTTTTACATCTCATTATTCTTTTAACTCGCCATTACCACGTTACAGGACCTTTACCTCCAGTCTTTTTTTTTGTTTTGGTTCTTTGTATATCATGAAATAGTTCGTCTCATACCCAAATTTGCCCCAACCCTTGTAAGTGGAAGTATGTGCAAATCATATTACAAAAAATGTTGATTTCGTCCCAAACAGAAACGATGAGTTGCGAGATAATAACGGTCATATTTTCAATAAAATAATAGGGCTTGAAAATTACTGGCAATTCTCAAAAATATATGTTCTTCCAAATTTAGCACACGCTATCATATTTTTGAAACAAAATTAGCACTATAAATCAAAATTAAATTTTCCAAATTAAATTATAAACTCTAAATAATGAATCATACACCTAAGAACTATGCATTAAATGTAACATAGTCAACCCAAACTAATTTTTTTAAAAATGTTCTTAAAAATTATTAATTATAATTGTGTTAATTAGTGCTATTTTAGAAATTAGTAGAGTGTGTGCTATAATCTATATATATAAAGTTAACTTTTTTTCTCTTCTCCTTAAGCCACCTCATCATTCTAATTATCATCCACATCATTTCATTATTTAATTTTAATAATTTATTTATATCATTTTATTCTTTAATCTAAATATTTATACACATGTAAACAAGTTTTTCAAAAAGAAATATGAAAAATCCTTTCAAACATCATTCACATCATTTTACTATTTAGTTTTAATAATTTATTTATACCATTTTATCATTTAAGTTAAAGATTTATACACATGTAAACAAGTTTTTTCAAAAAAAAAAAATGAAAAGTCCTTTCAGATAATAATTATAATAAAATAAATATGTTAAATTAGTATAAAGTAGATTATACTAATATGTATGTTAAATAACAATAACAAATAACAAATATACCAAAAAAAAATAACAAATAAAAATAACAAACAAAAACATAACAAACCAAAATAAATAGATAATAAACAAGAGATCGCCAAATCAATAAATAAAAAATACAACAATCCGCGCAAAATCCACAAATCATTCTCAACTTTTGGACCTTGCCAATAATTTTTCAAGTAATGTTAAGGTTCATTACTTTATTATAATATCTATTTATAAAGTAATAATCAATTTTTTGATTAATATGGCTAAATACAAAAACAAAATACAAAACAAGGATATTTATGCTACACAGATAGATATACCACTAAATTGATGTCATCCGAAGCCACCTCAAACGAGAACACAACCGATTTTAGACATAAGAAGTAGAAACAAAAACTAAAAAGTAAAATGAAAACACTTGCATAAATAAATAAGTGGATTCACCAGAATAATTTGGCCTACGAGAATTAAAGGCTTTTGAAATGTAAGGTTCTAACAGCTTCTATTTGACCTAAATCAAAGTTAAACAAATAACAATAAATATTTCATATACTAAGTTAATACAATGACAACAGTAAAAACAAAAAAATTAACAAAAAACAAAGAAAAATCAAAATATAAATTTTAAAATATAAAAAAAAATAAATAAACCTCCGCGCGTAGCGCGGGTCTACAACTAGTTGTCCATAAAACATACTTCCTCTGTCCCATTATATATATATATATATATATTTTTAGGCTTTTTTTCTCTGCTCAATTTTATAAGATTTTTCTAAGTTTCTATACATTTTTTATATTGGTTGTTTAAATTCTTCTAAGTTTCTATCAATTTTATATTTGACAATTTTTCTAAGTTTCTATCAATTTTATATTTGACAATTTAAATTCTTCAGTATGTTTTCCTATTGGCTGAATTTTATTAAATAATACAATATTTATTGTTTCTTAATCTTTGTGTTTTTAGCCAAAAACTCTTACATAATTGGACATATGAAGTATTTTGGTGCTATTTAAAGGTATTTCTCTAAAATCTCTATATTAGTAAAAGAGAAGTACAAAATAAAATACGGGTCGGGTCAAAAATAAAAAGTTAACCCGATTTCAACAATTGGATACTTCAAAAGTGGATATTAAAATGGGTTTGGATACATACATCGGATACTTTCCATATCTAATTTTAGGATTGTATTATTTCCATAACTAATTAGAGGATTTCCAAATATTTCTCTAACTAATTTAATATAATGTATTAAAATAATTATTATTCTTCTTTCACTTTTATTTGATCTTATTTTTAATTTATGATATTATACTATATAATATAAATATTTAATAATGATTTAACTTTTTTTTGCATATACTGCAATTTGAACTTTTTGAAACGGACATATAATACTCAACTACACTCGATTAAATATTTTGGACAATGGTTTAAAATTATTATAAGTATGACCAATATTAAAACCATTGTTACATGAGCATATTTAAAAATTTTAAAAGTTTCAAAATATTATGATTAAGAGGTTCAAATATATATAAACTTTAGAATTTATAATATGGAATTTTTTTTAAGACATAAATGTAATTTTGGAGACATAATTTTAATTGATAAAATATATTATATATCAAACTATTTAAAATTTATATTTTTCACGGGTAGTTTGTTAAATCACAATTATAATAATAAAGCGAGTTATGAATAATGTTTTTTACGAAATGAATTCTGTTACGGGTTGGTCCTTCAAAAAAATTATTGTAAATATGTAATTTTACATATATTCCTACTTCTACTACAAAATGGTCAAAATGAATATTTTATCGACAAATATTATTTCGTGCTGTTAAATTTTCACCTGTATCAAAACTCAATATATAATTATTTACTAACTTTTTCTTTTATTATTTTATTTAAACTTACTATACAAATATATGTTTCACCGTAATCGACTGGATTGCAATAAAATTAAAATGTAACATATTCTAATCCGTTAAAAGTTATATATATATGTAAATATTTCCCCCGCGCTGTAGCGCGGGTCCGAACCTAATTAATTACAGTAATTTGTTTAACTAGCATTGATGGTAGTTAATAAACAAAACCAGCATTTGATTACTGTAATTAATCAAAACCAGCATTGTTTATAAGAGCTCAGAAATGAAAATAAAACAAGGGGATGTGTTCAGAAGCTTTCAAGAATATTAAACTTCGAGCAAAGCCATGGAGACATGAGGCCTAAGTAAGTAGCTTTTCATATGTATTTGCAGTAGAGAGGATCACGTTGCGGATGACGCAATGGATTGTCGTGAAAATATAACATCCGGTGGTATCAAACTCGGTCATGAAGCCTGATATGCCGCAGCCGATCCAGCCAGGTCGTCGCCTATGTCGCGAGTTTTTGAACTGTCTTTGGCGCTGCAGTTGAGTGCGTAGATGATCCTACTAGTTGCTCCAACAATTTACATTTTGCTTCAGGCAATCTCAATCCAACTCATTCCAGATTCTTTAGCCCCAAACTTCTTAGCCACTTCTCTCACTTCACTTAAATGATCCCACATGCCCAACGTAGCATAAACATTTGAAAGAGATGTATAAACAGAAGGATCTTCAGGAAAAGCCTTGACCAATTTCTCAGCAATTACGGTAGCAAGTCTAGCATTCTTGTGAGTTCCGCAAGCAGTGAGCAGAGACATCCATATCGTTTTATCGGGATCCAATGGCATTTTGTTTATCAATTCTTCTGCCTCTTCGAATCGCCCAGCTTGACCAAGAAGATCAACTACACAATAATAATGCTCTAGATACGGTTCAAGACCATATTCAGATTTCATCGTTTCGAGGATGGATCTTGCTTCGTCAAGAAGTCCAGAATGACGGCAAGCAGAAAGAAGCCCGAGAAAAGTTACCTCATTTGGTACAACTCCCGAATTGATCATCTTGTGAAAATATTGAATCGCTTTGTTTACTTGTCCGTTTTGTCCGAATCCAACAATTATCCCTGTCCAAGAGACAACATCTCGTTCCAACATACCATCAAATAACACTACACCATTGTCTATCTCACCACATTTTACATACATATCTACTAGAGCTGTCACTGTGACATGTTCTGATTCATAACCTTTCTTTACACACAACCCGTGAATTTGCTTGCCCCATCCAAGAGCCGCTAAACTCGAACAAACTTTGAGAATACTTGAGATGGTGAACTGGTCGGCATCGAGTCCCAACTTGATTAATTCCTTGAACAGATAAAATGCTAAAGAATTGAACCCTGCTTTCACACAACCTCGTATCAGGCCAGAGAAAGCGACGATATCTTTATTTGGAAGTCTATGAAACAGTTTATATGCATCTTGTATATCCCCAATGTTTGCATGTAAATCAACAAGAATGCTTCCTATGATGCAATCAAACTCATAACCACTGGTTACAACAAAACCATGTACCTGACACCCAAGTCTCAAGTTTGCTAAGTTGAAAAAGATCTTTAAGGCACCACTTAGAGTGTAGGAGTCAAAACACAAATCTGACTGATACATCTGCAAAAGCAGCGTTAATGCCGATTCATACTCCTCGTTAATCAAAAATCCCGAGAGCATTGAATTCCAAACCGCAACACTATTACGGATGGCCTGTTTATCTTGATGAAAAACATCAGCTGCATCAATTAGAAAACCGCAGTTCGCATACATATCTATAAGAGCAGAGCGCGCAAACGGGCTAGACTCCAGACCTGACTTTACGACACAGCAGTGCAGCTGTTTACCCATTTTTAATAAGCCTCCAAAACTGCAAGCTTTAAGGCCACATGGTAAAGCAAAACCATCTAACTCAAGTCCTTCTCTCTGCATCCTAACTAGAAACTCCAACGCACGAGGACTACCCTTATCAACAAACCCCGAGATCAAACAGTTCCAAGACACAACATTTGGCCACGGGATTCTATGAAACAAACAAACCGCTTCATCAATCAAACCTGCTTTACAATAACCAGAAATAAGAGTGTTCCACGAAGTTGAATTAGGCCTTGAAATCTCCTTAAACGCGTTATTAGCTTCACTAAGTCTCCCATTCTTAACATACATATCTACAACAGCATTCATCAAAACAACATCACCATTCAGATTCTCTTTACCAATTCTTTCATGAATCAAACGACCCAACTGAAGATCACCCACTAACCCACACGCTTTCAAAACCGCGGAATACATAAACTCGTTAGGCCTTTCTTCTTCTTCAGATTCCAACATACTTCTGTACAATTCAATAGCCTTACTAGGGTGCCCATCACAAGTATACCCAGAAACCATCGTTGTCCAAGTAACAATATTTCTCTCAGTCATTTCATCGAACACTTTATGTGCATCACCCAAATACCTAAAATCAATGTACATTGAGATTACGTTATTTGCAAGAAACACATTCTGAGAGATCCCTTGTTTCATTATATGAGCTTGAATCGATTCACCACGCTGAAAAGCTTGTAGCTTCCCACAATGACGCAACCCTGCTGCTATAAGCTTGAAGTCCATAACCATTTACACTACGAAATACAATAAAACATTACAAATTCCACATTTTATGATCCTAATAGGTAAACCAAGTAAGTTGTGATAACTGATGAAATGTTTGTCTTGTCTTTCTTCGTTGGTACTTTGAGACAAAAGCATTGCAAACCAATTTTGTTCAAAAAAAAAAAAAAAAAGCATTGCAAACCAATGGTCTTAACATAAAAACGGAAGGTAGTTTGTTTGAAAAAATAAAAAACACCACGCTGTTTGTTTGAGAAACAGTAAACGACACGCTTTTCAATACCGAAAAGTAAGAAAATTATGTATGGGCTTGACATTGGGTTTCGGTTTGATACGCTCTGTTTTGGTTAGTTCGAATACTATAATAACTTTTCGGTTATTTTAGTATTTTTTTGGATTGGTTCGGTTTTCCTTTCGATTCTGTTTGGTTCGGATATTCAAATAAATAACCGTAATCAAAAATCCATCGAATTCGGTTCAGTTGGTTTTTTTAAAATCAAAAATAACCAAAACTAACAATAAATGACTGAGAAATTAACTAAAAAATATCATGGTTAGTTAAAAATTGGTACCTAAATAAACTGAAAAAAAAAAATCAATATGAGGCAAAGTTACTAGAGGGTCCCTAGCTTTATTTAGAAAAAACAAAAAAAATAGGCTTTTAATTATTAATATAAGATAGACTAGAGGAAGCTACTAATGCTCTGAACAAATCTCCGACAATATCTAAGTTGCATTCGATAACTTTTTTTTAATATGTTATCAGGATAAAATACATATTATCTGTTAAATTAATACTAACACGATTCATCACTGATATTTTTTGTTTTGTTTTTTTTTTTTTGGCTCAACTTCAACTTTCATTAACCAACTCAAAGTACACTTGGTTTATCGACCATTACATTGCTTTGTATCCAATTCGGCATTAACGAGTACAACTTAGGGTCATAGTTCTCGAAAGAAAGAGACTCCTTTGCTACTCGATCAGCCACGCCATTACATCCTCTTGGAGTATAAACAATCTTAAAGTCCTCAAGCAATGGGAGCGAATCTTTTATGTCCTGGATTAGTGGGGCAAAAGCTGGCCAGTTCTCATCATTGTTTAACAGATTCACTAGCACCAATGAGTCTGATTCAAAGATGATCTTCTGAAAATCCAGCCTTAACATTGAGGTGACTGCCCATCTTATCGCCTCCAGTTCCACTTCTAAAGCAGATCTGGTTCTTCTAAGAGCTTGTGCTCCCATCCATAGGACTTCACCGCTGCAATTCCGCAGAACCCAACCCATTCCACTTTGAGTATCTTCACCATTCCAAGCAACATCTGTATTACATTTAACCCAACATCTTGGAGGGGGTCTCCATTTTTCTTCGTTACTAGCTCGTAGTGTGGGCTGTCTATCTTTCAGAGCATCCTGACCCTTTCTCTGGTTCCACTCTTCAGCATCCTCCAGTGCCTTTCTCACAGTATCTTGCGCGTCAAAGTCCTTTCCTTTAAAAATGAACTCATTTCTGGATTTCCAAAGTCTCCAAAGCAACCAGGGCACAACTTTAGGTAATTCATCTCTTTGAGGATAGTTGGATTTAGCATTCAGAACATGAAACATATTAGCATATATAGAGTCATCCCAACTTCCACCTGGAGGAGCCGGAAAATGGTAGATAGCCCAGACCTGTCTAACATAAGTACATTGAAACAACAGGTGATTTATGGTTTCTTCTTGGTGAGGGCATCTTGAGCAGAAGTTATCCCTAGATAAGTGACGATAAGATAAGTTTCTGGCCACTGAGATACAATTGTTCAAGCATCGCCAAAGGAAATGTTGAACTTTGGGGCTGGCTTCTGTTTTCCACACCTGATAGATAAGAGAGTTTAAGCTAGGCTGGGTTACCTCTTGAGGTCTTTTCCTTGGAAGAATGACTTGAGTTAGAACCCAATATCCAGATTTCACCGAGTAGTGGGCTGTTTGAGCATAGTCCCATGTGTAACCATCATGCCTGTTTCTTCCACTCGGTCTTAGCCCCTCAATTGATTCCAGGATATCTCTTCTCCACTGTCTTCTACTGATATCAAGCAGATCTTTAACTTTTAATAGAGATGACACTGAAGAATCACTGATATTAGAATTCGATAACACTGTTTATCAGTGATTAATCGCATTCGATAACTTATTTTTAATAGTATCACTGATTTCCCTATATTAATTTATAAAAAATTTAAAATTTTTTTTGTCAAATGCAGTTTTAGATTCTCTACAAGTCCATTGCTACATTTGCACCATATACATATTTTCAGGGCCGGCCCTACCATAAGGCAAGTAAAGCCTTTGCTTTAGGCCACATCAAAATTAAGAAAATATTAAGGCCACATAGTTAAAGTTGTTGTTAGTCTAATGGTTTTCCATTCTAGTTTACACAAATCTTTTATAGTCACCCAGTTTTGATTCCACATGTTTAAGTTTCCATTTTCTATTTTACTTTTATACATATATATATTGTTTTGTCAACTACTTTTATACATATTTGGTCTAGTTTAAATATTTATTTAAATCATATATATAAAAGTAAGGTTCCACTCTCTCCTTATTGGTGGAAAAATATTTAAGACTTTAATTTTTTTTAAAAAAATAAATAAATGTTTATGATAATCATTCAATACAAAATTTAATTACACTATAAGTTATAATCAAATGACAAAGAAAATGAAAGGACTTAATCATATATCATTGAACAAAATAAATAAATAAATAAATGTTTATGACAATCATTTAATACAAAATTTAATTACACTATAAGTTATAATCAAATGGCAAAGAAAATGAAAGAAATTAATCATATATCACTCAACAAATTTTATAAGGTTTATTGGTGGAAAATTATTTAAAATCATATATATAAAAGTAAGG